TATTTTTGCTTGGGCGGCACTCATGATGAAATTCTGCAAAAAACTGACCGGCCCCTGCCCTGCCCCTACCTACCTACCTACCTACCTACCTTACTTATGGGAAACTAAAAAAGAAATCACGGCGTGGGTGAAGGTGGGGTACTATACCAACTAAAGTGATGGTTGGTGGTACTATCCTGCAACCACAGTCCTTCCTGTGACATGGCAGGCCCCACTCTCAAGCCCTACAAGCACCCCAGATCAACGACTTGGGGAGGGTTGACATCGTGATTTGGGCGGAAAAATTCTTTTTCTGAAAATTCCAGCGTGAGAGAGGGAAAAACCCGACGGGAGGGCCCAGACCCTACCCTACCTACCCCGTCATGAGTGCCGCCCCAAGCAAAAATAACATACACCTGCCCGGGGGGGAATTAAAGGGACCACCGACCAACGCGTATATGCGGAAGAGGGTAATCAGAGTACAGTGCACGGTCTGCCTCTGATCCCGCCGGGGAACCGCCGTACCTTTTTCTTTGGCCGGCGTCCTAAGACATTGCAGCCGGCACCGGGCACCATCTACTGACACACCGATGCCGCTCGCCATGCAATAGAAGGTGAACGAGCTGCCCTGCCGCCAAAGCAAACATGCAGTAAACACTCGAGGCTCTTCAGATCGGCGGCGGTGCCGAGTACAGAGCCTACGCGCCAGAGGCAGGTTCAGCCAGAGCGGGCAGGGCAGGTCATGGGTGGCGGGGGGCGGCCTCAAAGGTGCCCTGTACATGCGCCGCCAAGACCTCGCGCAGCGCCGCAGCCGCGATGGTGTGTGGGTGCATTTCTCCTAGGTGCTCGTCCATCTGCGACCCCGCCTCGGAGCACAAGCCCATGGCTTCGGCGAAGCGGCCCTGAGCCGTCAGTGTGACGGGAAGGAGGATGCCCATCACCTTGAGCGTCTGAGGATGCCCGTCACCCAAGCGCTCGCGCTGAAAACTCCACAGCTCGCGCTGCAGTCTCTCCGCCTCCTCGAGGGCGCCCTGAAGGTAACAGGTGTCGGCGAGATTGTTCAGGGCGGTTGCGATGTCTGGGTGCCCGTGCTTTTTCATCCCATTCAGAACCCTCCGTTGTAGCGCCTCTGCGCGGTCGTAGTGGCCGTCGCGTGCAAATTGGATCGACCGCTCGCCGAGAGCACGCAGCGCCCTGACGCGTCCGAGCGTCAGGCTGGACGATGGAGAGGAGGAGGAGAGGAGGAGGAGGAGCCTGATGGCGTGATGGCCCCTCTTCATTACACCGGTCGCGTCAGGCTGAGCGATGAGAGAGGAGGAGAGGAGCCTGATGGCTCTTCATTACACCTCTGAAAAAGAATTTTCGAACGAAACTCCCTCACCTCTGAAAAAGAGCCTGTGGTAGTGAGAGACTGCCAGCGGGAAGCTGGAGGCAGGTCACTAGACTGAGATGAGACCGCCAGTGGATGTGGGAGTCCACCGCGCACCGCGCTGCGAGCCTGTCGTGTCCCTTGTCAGGAGCAGGAGAGCCCCACCTGTCCCCCTGATCGTCCTTCCAAAATCCTGCTCGTGCAGGTGGGGACCCTGTCCTCCTCCCCCATCCCTCGTCTGGGTTTGTCTGTTTTCTTTCTTTCTTTCTTTCTGAAAAAGAATTTCGGCACACTATGAACTCAAACCTACTTCCCATCCCTCGTTTGGCGTGTCTGGTTTCTTTCTTTCTTTTTTACTTCCGAGGAGGACGAACCAGTGGAAAGCCAGTTGTCAGATGTCACGATGCATCCGAAGGGGACCCCAGCGCCGGCATCATCCGTAGAGGCACGAGTGTTCGAAGAGAGAGTGGACCTGAGCAACAACATGACCTGTAGGCAAATGATCGGAGTGGGAGTCAGAAATGTGGTCCTTGCGCGAGGGGAGCTCGATAGACTCGAGGCTGGAGAGTCCGCGTGTGACCTTGTCGCGATGTCGCGAAGCAAGTGCCACGAAGCGCTATTTCCTGCTCTCAGCTCACCACCTCGCCTTCTCTGTCGCTCTCATGGCCCAGGCCCATCAGTAGCAAGCCTGAGCTGTCCCAGACCGCACTTATCTCGGGTCTTTAAGCTCACACCGGCTCGTGATGCCACGGAGAGGGCTCCGAGATTGTCCCCGGTGGACCCCATCTCCGAGCCAATTGTGAGGGCTTTCCGGAGCGCATTACCGGCGCCACCGACCATGATATGTCCTGATCCACAGCCCTCATACACCAGGCGCATGGATGCAGTCATAATATGTAGGCCTTCTCTCCCGAAGTTTGGAGCAATAGCCGCAAGTAGTACTTGTTGGCAGCTTGGCACTTCACATCGCGACACGTCCAGGTGCCGACGAAGCGGCTTCCCAGCTCACCACCTCGCCTTCCCTGCCGCTCTCCTGGCCAAGGCCCATCAGTATCAAGTCTGAGCTGTCCCAAACCGTCCTTATTTTGGGCGATGAAGCTCGCTCTGGCTCATACCACGGATCTGAAGCCTCACACACGCCTGATTCACCCACAGACACCGCCGGCACGCACTCCCACTTCACACACGCTCAAGCACAACCCCACCAAGGCACAGCCCTGCTCAGAATGGGCAAGGGCTACCACTTGGTGACCCAGGTAGCCTCTGGCCACTGCACTCGGCTCCTCTGCAGCGGTCTTGTGCTATCGCCACGACAGCACGCCGACGGCAAGCTTTGAGGTCCGTCTATTGAAACCTGCTGTGGCCACAGCCGCCCCTCACATGCAGCTCGCCGCCTCGGGTGCTCGGCACTGCGTTCCTGAGGTAGTAGGATGCATGGCCCACGCTGGCGGCCGGCAGAGAGCGCGCAGTCGGCGCACAGCAGCAGCAACCTGCGGCCACGGGCCATGAGACGCTAAGTTGCGCGCATTGCTGCAGAGGCTCGCGCGTGGCGGGAGGGGCAAGAGGGTCGTGTCTGGCTCGCCGAGGCTGCACTCCATCTGGGTGCTGGAGGCGAGCACCCTTGTGTTGCGGGTTGGGTCATTGGGAGGGTGTATTACTGTTTCTGCAGCCATGTGGAATGGGTGACACGGCGCCGCAGAAGGTGCTGGGAGTGCCATGCAGAAATGCTGCCATGTGCAGAGCGCGGCGACTTTGGAGCTCGCCTCGGGCGGTTCCCACAAGTCCGTGCGGAGGTCGGAGAGGGGGTGAACCGCGCCATCCTTCCTCGATCGCCGCGCAAAGCTCGCTTCCGAGCTCTCACGCCGCGCGTAGGGCCCTTAGGGGCCTAGAGAACACAACCCCCTCTCCCTTTTCTCCCCGTACGCTAAAAGTACGTACGCACGCGGGGCCACCCGTACCCGCAGACACCCCTGAATTTCCAATTGCGGATTCAATCCCTCGTAGGGCGCGCTTTCAACTCGAGTATTCGGGGGATGGCCGACGCCGCCTGAACGCATACGATGGACACGGAGGCAGGCGACGGCAAGCACAATGCCGAACTCGTTCCCAGGGGGGGGGGCGCCGCCGGGGGCGCAGCTGGCGGCGCCGCCGGAGGCAGCGCCACCTCGGACGCCTGGTATCAGATCGCCAGCAGCTCTGCGCCGCCGGCCGCAGGTGAAACGTGTATCTGATCTGCTACTATGCTAGTCGCTTGACAGGAGCCCAGATGTCTCGAAGCTTACGATGGCCCTGCCGGTGCAGGTGGAGCGGCGTCGACGGGCAGCAAGCTGCCGCTGGTGCTCGGCGTACTAGGCGTGGTTGGGCTTTGCGCTGGTGCCGTCGCGTACACCGAGCCTAAACCGTCTTCACCCGCCACTTCTCGCGACCTACTCTTTGGCGAGGAGGGGAAAGGGAGCGGGAAGGGGGGGTCGCATCCTCAGGTTGCGGGTCGTGGGTGGTCATCACCTCAGCTCACACCGAGAAGCCCGCAAGGTGAAGGCATCAAGATGCCGTGCTGCGGCGGCGAAGGCGCTCGAGGAGGACATGCCGCCCGAGGTCGCCGAGGCGGCGGCCAAGGCTGCCGCAGACGCGGTCAGCAAGGGCGTCGATCCGGAGGAGGCGGCCAAGGCGGCCGAGGCGGCGTCTGCTGCGGCGGCTAAGGCGCTCGAGGACGACATGCCGCCCGAGGCAGCCGAGGCGGCGGCCAAGGCTGCCGCCGACGCAGTCAGCAAGGGCGTCGATCCGGAGGAGGCGGCCAAGGCGGCCGAGGCGGCGTCCGCAGCAGCGGCGAAGGCGCTCGAGGAGGACATGCCGCCCGAGGTCGTCGAGGAGGCGGCCAAGGCTGCCGCCGACGCGGTCAGCAAGGGCGTCGATCCAGAGGAGGCGGCCAAGGTGGCCGAGGCGGCGTCTGCTGCGGCGGCTAAGGCACTCGAGGACGACATGCCGCCCGAGGTCGTCGAGGAGGCGGCCAAGGCTGCCGCCGACGCAGTCAGCAAGGGCGTCGATCCGGAGGAGGCGGCCAAGGTTGCCGAGGCGGCGTCCGCTGCGGCGGCGAAGGCGCTCGAGGACGACATGCCGCCCGAGGTCGTCGAGGAGGCGGCCAAGGCTGCCGCCGACGCAGTCAGCAAGGGCGTCGATCCGGAGGAGGCAGCCAAGGTGGCCGAGGCGGCGTCTGCTGCGGCGGCTAAGGCGCTCGAGGAGGACATGCCGCCCGAGGTCGTCGAGGAGGCGGCCAAGGCTGCCGCCGACGCGGTCAGCAAGGGCCTCGAGCCGGAGGAGGCGGCCAAGGTGGCCGAGGCGGCGTCTACTGCGGCGGCGAAGGCGCTCGAGGACGACATGCCGCCCGAGGTCGTCGAGGAGGCGGCCAAGGCTGCCGCCGACGCAGTCAGCAAGGGCGTCGATCCGGAGGAGGCGGCCAAGGTTGCCGAGGCGGCGTCTGCTGCGGCGGCGAAGGCGCTCGAGGACGACATGCCGCCCGAGGTCGCCGAGGAGGTGGCCAAGGCTGCCGCCGACGCAGTCAGCAAGGGCGTCGAGCCGGAGGAGGCGGCCAAGGTTGCCGAGGCGGCGTCTGCAGCGGCGGCTAAGGCACTCGAGGACGACATGCCGCCCGAGGTCGTCGAGGAGGCGGCCAAGGCTGCCGCCGACGCAGTCAGCAAGGGCGTCGATCCGGAGGAGGCGGCCAAGGTTGCCGAGGCGGCGTCCGCTGCGGCGGCGAAGGCGCTCGAGGACGACATGCCGCCCGAGGTCGTCGAGGAGGCGGCCAAGGCTGCCGCCGACGCAGTCAGCAAGGGCGTCGATCCGGAGGAGGCAGCCAAGGTGGCCGAGGCGGCGTCTGCTGCGGCGGCTAAGGCGCTCGAGGAGGACATGCCGCCCGAGGTCGTCGAGGAGGCGGCCAAGGCTGCCGCCGACGCGGTCAGCAAGGGCCTCGAGCCGGAGGAGGCGGCCAAGGTGGCCGAGGCGGCGTCTACTGCGGCGGCGAAGGCGCTCGAGGAGGACATGCCGCCCGAGGTCGTCGAGGAGGCGGCCAAGGCTGCCGCAGACGCGGTCAGCAAGGGCGTCGATCCGGAGGAGGCGGCCAAGGTTGCCGAGGCGGCGTCTGCTGCGGCGGCGAAGGCGCTCGAGGACGACATGCCGCCCGAGGCAGCCGAGGCGGCGGCCAAGGCTGCCGCCGACGCAGTCAGCAAGGGCTTCAAGCCGGAGGAGGCGGCCAAGGCGGCCGAGGCGGCGTCCGCAGCGGCGGCCAAGGCGCTCGAGGACGACATGCCGCCCGAGGTCGCCGAGGAGGCGGCCAAGGCTGCCGCCGACGCAGTCAGCAAGGGCGTCGATCCGGAGGAGGCGGCCAAGGCGGCCGAGGCGGCGTCTGCTGCGGCGGCGAAGGCGCTCGAGGAGGACATGCCGCCCGAGGCAGCCGAGGCGGCGGCCAAGGCTGCCGCCGACGCAGTCAGCAAGGGCGTCGATCCGGAGGAGGCGGCCAAGGTTGCCGAGGCGGCGTCCACTGCGGCGGCGAAGGCGCTCGAGGACGACATGCCGCCCGAGGTCGTCGAGGAGGCGGCCAAGGCTGCCGCCGACGCAGTCAGCAAGGGCGTCGATCCGGAGGAGGCGGCCAAGGCGGCCGAGGCGGCGTCTGCTGCGGCGGCGAAGGCGCTCGAGGACGACATGCCGCCCGAGGCAGCCGAGGCGGCGGCCAAGGCTGCCGCCGACGCAGTCAGCAAGGGCTTCAAGCCGGAGGAGGCGGCCAAGGCGGCCGAGGCGGCGTCCGCAGCGGCGGCCAAGGCGCTCGAGGAGGACATGCCGCCCGAGGTCGCCGAGGAGGCGGCCAAGGCTGCCGCCGACGCAGTCAGCAAGGGCGTCGATCCGGAGGAGGCGGCCAAGGTTGCCGAGGCGGCGTCCGCTGCGGCGGCGAAGGCGCTCGAGGAGGACATGCCGCCCGAGGTCGCCGAGGAGGCGGCCAAGGCTGCCGCCGACGCAGTCAGCAAGGGCGTCGATCCGGAGGAGGCGGCCAAGGCGGCCGAGGCGGCGTCCGCAGCAGCGGCGAAGGCGCTCGAGGAGGACATGCCGCCCGAGGTCGTCGAGGAGGCGGCCAAGGCTGCCGCCGACGCGGTCAGCAAGGGCCTCGAGCCGGAGGAGGCGGCCAAGGTGGCCGAGGCGGCGTCCGCTGCAGCGGCGAAGGCGCTCGAGAACGACATGCCGCCCAAGGTCGCCGAGGAGGCGGCCAAGGCTGCCGCCGACGCAGTCAGCAAGGGCGTCGATCCGGAGGAGGCAGCCAAGGTTGCCGAGGCGGCGTCTGCTGCGGCGGCGAAGGCGCTCGAGGACGACATGCCGCCCGAGGTCGTCGAGGAGGCGGCCAAGGCTGCCGCAGACGCAGTCAGCAAGGGCGTCGATCCGGAGAAGGCGGCCAAGGTTGCCGAGGCGGCGTCCACTGCGGCGGCGAAGGCGCTCGAGGACGACATGCCGCCCGAGGTCGTCGAGGAGGCGGCCAAGGCTGCCGCCGACGCAGTCAGCAAGGGCGTCGATCCGGAGGAGGCGGCCAAGGTTGCCGAGGCGGCGTCCGCTGCGGCGGCGAAGGCGCTCGAGGACGACATGCCGCCCGAGGTCGCCGAGGAGGCGGCCAAGGCTGCCGCCGACGCAGTCAGCAAGGGCGTCGATCCGGAGGAGGCGGCCAAGGTGGCCGAGGCGGCGTCCGCTGCGGCGGCGAAGGCGCCCGAGGAGGACATGCCGCCCGAGGTCGTCGAGGAGGCGGCCAAGGCTGCCGCCGACGCAGTCAGCGAGGGCGTCGAGCCGGAGGAGGCGGCCAAGGTGGCCGAGGCGGCGTCCGCTGCGGCGGCGAAGGCGCTCGAGGACGACATGCCGCCCGAGGTCGTCGAGGAGGCGGCCAAGGCTGCCGCCGACGCGGTCAGCAAGGGCGCCGAGCCAGAGGAGGCGGCCAAGGTTGCCGAGGCGGCGTCCGCTGCGGCGGCGAAGGCGCTCGAGGAGGACATGTCGCCCGAGGTCGTCGAGGAGGCGGCCAAGGCTGCCGCCGACGCGGTCAGCAAGGGCGTCGATCCGGAGGAGGCGGCCAAGGTTGCCGAGGCGGCGTCCGCTGCGGCGGCCAAGGCGCTCGAGGAGGACATGCCGCCCGAGGTCGTCGAGGAGGCGGCCAAGGCTGCCGCCGACGCAGTCAGCAAGGGCGTCGATCCGGAGGAGGCGGCCAAGGTTGCCGAGGCGGCGTCCGCTGCGGCGGCGAAGGCGCTCGAGGAGGACATGCCGCCCGAGGTCGTCGAGGAGGCGGCCAAGGCTGCCGCCGACGCAGTCAGCAAGGGCGTCGATCCGGAGGAGGCGGCCAAGGTGGCCGAGGCGGCGTCCGCTGCGGCGGCGAAGGCGCTCGAGGACGACATGCCGCCCGAGGTCGTCGAGGAGGCGGCCAAGGCTGCCGCCGACGCGGTCAGCAAGGGCGCCGAGCCAGAGGAGGCGGCCAAGGTTGCCGAGGCGGCGTCCGCTGCGGCGGCGAAGGCGCTCGAGGAGGACATGTCGCCCGAGGTCGTCGAGGAGGCGGCCAAGGCTGCCGCCGACGCGGTCAGCAAGGGCGTCGATCCGGAGGAGGCGGCCAAGGTTGCCGAGGCGGCGTCCGCTGCGGCGGGCCAAGGCGCTCGAGGAGGACATGCCGCCCGAGGTCGTCGAGGAGGCGGCCAAGGCTGCCGCCGACGCAGTCAGCAAAGGGGCGGTCGATCCGGAGGAGGCGGCCAAGGGTTGCCGAGGCGGCGTCCGCTGCGGCGGCGAAGGCGCTCGAGGACGACATGCCGCCCGAGGTCGTCGAGGAGGCGGCCAAGGCTGCCGCCGACGCAGTCAGCAAGGGCGTCGATCCGGAGGAGGCGGCCAAGGTTGCCGAGGCGGCGTCCGCTGCGGCGGCGAAGGCGCTCGAGGAC